TCTTAACCACTTGAGCCACCGCAGCTCCCTAATGGTAGTACTTGAAATAAATATGTTAATTTAGGTTTCCAGAACATTTTTACACTCCCAATTCTGGAAGTTATATTTAAAGACTCTCTCCACCTTTTCCTGTCTCTTGTTATTTTTCTCCAGACATTATTATAGTTTTTCTCTACAATCTTATTAATATTCTGATGTATTTCTACTCCTAAATATCTAAATCTCTTGACTCCCAATCCTATTTTGGTTAATATGTTGATTTATTTCCTTTCCTCTCAATTCACATTATGGTATAATACTTCTGATTTCATCATATTAATTTTTAAACCTGACATTGTTTCAAAATCCTCTAGTATCACCTTTGTCTCTTTAATTCCTTCCTTTGGGTTGGACATTATTATTCTTATATCATCTGCAAACAGATTAATCTTCATCTCTTCTTTGCCAATTTTACAACCTTCTATCCTTCCTGAATTTCTAATTCTTTCCACTAATTGTTCAATCGCCATTATGAACAAAAAGGGTGAAAGTGGGCATCCTTGTCTTACTCCCCTTGTAATTGGAAATTGTGCAGTGTGTTCACCATTTATTCGAACTGCCGCTGAGCCTTCTCTATATATTTCATGTATGGTTTTTATAAATCCCTGACCAATGCCATATTTCGACATTATATTCCACAAGAATTCATGAGATAATGTATCAAATGCTTTATATACATCTAGTTTAAGCAAACCTATTTTCCCCAAACGGCAGTGACTTAATACATTTAATATGTTTCTAATCGGGTGGGCTATACTTCTATTTTTAACAAAACCATACTGATCATCTTTTATTACTTTGGGAGTGATATTTTTTGAGTCTATTTGCCATTATTTTAGCAAAGATTTTATAATCTTGATTTAATAGGCTTATCGGCCTATAGGAACCCACTTCCTGAGGGTCCCTCTGTGGTTTTAATAATATTGTTATTTCTGCTGTCCTCCAAGTGTCAGGTGCATTTCCTCCCTTTAGTATAGTATTAAAGACTGTACATAGTTCCGGTACTAAAATTTCTCTCATTTCCTTATAGAATTCCGCTGTAAATCCGTCCATACCCGGTGATTTGCCTGTTTTTAAGCCTTTTATTACTTGTTCTATTCCTTTTCAGCCCTGGCCCCCACCTGGTGGAATGAGCTCCCATACGAGATCAGGGCCCTGCGGGACCTTTTACAGTTCCGCAGAGCATGCAAGACGGAGCTCTTCCGCCAGGCTTTTAACTAGAGTGACGGACGTCCCTCCCTCTTTTCTGGGTCTTCCCTCAGCGGGTCAGAACTGCTTACCAGAGATGGCATCTGTGAGACTTAATTCTAATGACAACTGCACCGGCTGAAAGATAGAGTTGTGATTAAAAAAAAAAAAAAAGGATAGAGTTGTGATTTATTAGTGTTTTAATTGTATTTTTACTATTCCTTTGTATTTTATATATTGTATTTTTATTAAATCTGATGTCCCCTGCCCTGAGCCTGCCATGCGGGGAGGGCGGGATAGAAGTCGAATAAAATAAAAAAATTAACTGGCTGGATCCTGTCGGAAGTTGGATGCTGGACTGATGCAGCCAGACAGTTAAATCCATCTAATTCAGCCGGACCTTTAAGTCAATGGCCTTCTCTTCTTCCCTGCTCCATGACTGCTACAATGCCTGTAACCTAAATCCAGTATGATAAACTCAGATTTACATATCTTAAAAGCCAGTGTGGTATCTTGGCCAAAGTACCAGACACAGGTCTGGAAAACCAGTATGCAGAATTAATTATACCATCCTTGGAAGGTCAAGCTAGCAATCCTAGAGGGGGTTTATAAACACAAATCAACGGTAATCTGTGTATATTGTATATACTGCATGGATTCTCTCTGTCTGTCTCCCTAGTGTGAAGTTTATCAGTAAGATCCAGTACGTTCACACACTGGAGGAACTAGAAAGCATTATCCCCATGGAGCACGTCCAGATTCCAGTTTGTGTCCTACAGTAAGCGATGCAAATTTAGGTTTCTTAACTTTTGGCAGCATTCCACAGCCCATTCGTTTCTCCTCCTCATCCCCCCCCCCATCATCTCGCCCCGTTTGACCGCTTAACCGCCCACTTTCTGCAACTCTCCATTTAAGGAGTAAAGAAAGGGTTTAGGTAGCAGCAATGAAGGGGGGAAAAGGTCACGAGTACAAAAGAAACCACGATAATTTTAAAGGCATTTGAAAATTGCTGAGTCCAGCCAACAGGCTTCTTAAATACAAAGAGAGATAGTGCTACCAGGGAGCAATGCTCCCTCTAAGCTGTGGAGTCTTGTGAGCAGAAATCCTACTTGGTGAGCGACTGACATTAAAGTTGTGAGTGAGCAATTTGACTCCTGCCTAAATTAGTTTCCCCTGGAGCCCTCCTTCCTGAGCTAAGACAAAAATCTGTGAGCCGTAGGCTAAAAAACTGTGAGCTGGCTCACACTGACTCAGCTTAGAGGGAACACTGCCAGGTAGTCCAGTGCCAGGTGGGTCTTTGCCTTTGCCAGTTTCCATGGTGAAAAAATGTGTAAGATTCTTTGGTCCCTTCGTCCGGAGCCTCGGTTGCTCAGGGGGTCGGTAAACGGGGCTCTCCCTCAGTGGAGGACTTCCGACCATAGTGTTCTAGGCTTTGGAGCTCCTGCACTGAGCAGGGGGTTGGATTAAATGTCCTAGAAGGCCTCTTCCAACTCTACGATAGTATGATCCTCCCTCTTGGCCTTGGGCCCATGAATAGGCCTGCAGTAGAAGTTGCCAACATCCAGGTGGCACCTGGAGATCTCCCGCTACTACAATGGCTCTCCAGACAACCAAGATCAGTTCTCCTGGAGAAAATGGCTGCTTCGGAGGGTGGACTCTGTGGCATTATGCCCTTCTGAGGTCCCTCCCCTCCCCAAGTCCCACCCTCCCTAGCCTCCGCCCCCAAAATCTCCAGGTATTTCCCAACCCTACCTGCCATCTTGGGACAATGTCACGTGATGATGTGTTTGGAAAAATACTCCATCTTAATGGTATTTTATTGTTTCGTGTAAGCTTCCAGTCCTTGAGAAGCGTTCTGCATTGAGAGGTGGGGATAGAATTAGAGATGTAAAATTTCCGGACATTTTGAAGCTCGGGAAAAAACCCATTTTTTTTCGGGGCGGGACGAAAGTTTTCGGGAAAAAATGAAAAAAATGCTACATTAGCTTTTTTTTTTGTCTTTTCCAGATTGAAAGTCATTGTGTTACTTTAGGAACATAAAATATGACTATGGACGTTTTTACTTGGCATGAAACTATCACAACCAGCATATTAAAAATATAGTGTATCCAAACAATTATTTCAAACAGAATACCCACCCACATGCAAAACCAAAACTGAAACTTTTTTATTTTCTTCTGACAATCGCACCTCCTAAAGGAAGAAATGCATCTTGTTCTTGCATTGGAGGGTTCAGTTTTTAACCTAGGACTTGCTTGTCCTCAGTGCACAGAAATTAGATCAATCTGATACCATATATATATAAATGATTTGGAAAATATTTGAACACCTTGTCCTAAAATATTTTATTCATTATGTTAAAATAAAACGTTCCATTTTTTTTCTTTTTTCAATTTTTCCAATTTTTTTGGGGGAAAAAAGACTTCAGGAAAAAAACGGGGGGGGGGGAATGGGTTTTTTTTCGAATTTTTCCGGTTTTTTTCTGGGCCTTCACATCTCTAGATAGAATACAGGCTTTCAATGGGAATGCATGCATATCTGTACCATCCTTGTTCCACTGGAATTATGCGGCAGTCTCTCTCTATGACTAACATATTTCTTAGCAGTGGCTCAAGTGGTTAAGACACTGAGCTGCAGACTGGAAAGTCTGTAGTTCAGCAGTTCGAAACCCTAGTGCCACGTGCCAGAGTGAGCTTCCATCTCCGGCCCCAGCTCCTGCCAACCTAGCAGTGCAAAAGCAAGAAACTGCAAGTAGATAAATAGGTACTGCTTCAGTGGGAAGGTAACAGCGTTCCGTGCGCCTTGGTGTTTAGTCATGCCAGACACATGACCACGGAAACGTCTTCGGACAGCGCTGGCTCTTCGGCTTGGAAATGGAGATGAGCACCGCCCCTTAGAGTCGGATTCGACTGGCTTTCGAGCCAGGGAAACCTTTACATTTTAAAAGCAAAACATGAGATTGCACGTTGATAACTCAGTATGTTTATGAAACACAGACTAACTATGGCAAGCTGTGATCCTGGACAAATCACATGGGTACAGATGTGCACCTCAAAGGTCCTTTCACTTCATGAGAGGACCCAGAAATAAAGCTCATGTATAATTTGGTCAACAGCAAATGCTCTCAATCCTTTAGCAGATAAGAAATCTCAAAAACGAGGTGAAGAGTGCTGAGGAACCAGAAGGGAATTTTTTCATGTGAAAACAATGTGAAATTGTGGGACTGAAGAGCTAAACTAATTCTTTTTCTTCACTTTAGGTTTGAAGAAGAGAGAAACAGAGCAAGAAAAGAAAGGTAGGGAAGAACTTCAGTGCGTGTGGGAAAACCTTGTGTCCTTCCCATAAAATTTGGGAGGGTATTATTGTTCTTCACCGTGTACCCATTTGGGGAAGCAGTGTATTTGAAACTTCAATTTATCTTTGCAGGGCAGAAGAGAAACAGGACATGGCTGAGAGAGAGAGGTAGCTACTTCTTTTTGATCTCCAAGAATACCAGAGTCGACCTCAGGCAGTTTCCCTGACCTTGCAAGAATTAATATTTTGTGATAAGTAGTCACGGCAGCGAATTGGGCCTTGTATCGTGGAGGACGGAACCACCAATGGTTATTAGGCATGGTGGCTAAATGGAACCTCCATGTTCAGAGGCAATCTACCTCTGCATGTGTTGCTGAGGAGCAACCTGGGGAGGTCCTTTGGCCTCCCTGCCCTGCTTGGGAGTCTTCCAAAGGTCTTCTGTAGCTGGCCAGTGGGGGAAACAGGATGACCTTTCAGTCTGGTATCCAGCAAGGCTCTTCATGTGTTGTTATGTGTTGCTTAAAAGATGCATGTCATGGAATCTTCTCTGCTGAGATCCCTGTATCTCTCTGACCCCAGCTGTGCATTCTACACATGTTTTTGATCTCTGAGAATACCAGTCTTTGGCTGTGGTCACACTGGCGGCTTGGTGCGATATGGGGCTGCCTCTAATTGAACCGGTTTAAAGTGTTGTGGGGCATATCAGCCACACAGCACACCCCGCTGTGGGTTACCCACGGAGACATCCACATTATTGCAGAGCCTCAGCCATGAAGCGCACTGCATAAAAATTCCAAAATTCATGCATGTGCACAAGTGTGCATGCCCGTGCACATGCGCGCATAGGCAATTTTTTTAAAAAAACGCCTCCCTAGCAACAGAATGGATCTGCAGGTTCAGACTGCCAAATCCGTTCTGAGTGCACTCCCCCACGTTCAGGCATCCGGCCATGCGCAATGACTGCGCGGGGAACCAAAACCACCACTTGTGATGTGGTGCCTTTTTAACCTGGCTCCCAGTCGTCCTATGACAGGATAGGTATGGCTGGGGAATGCCTGACAGATGTGGCTGTCTGACCACGCCCATTTGATCCGGAGGGGAGGAGTGCCTGTGTCGGGCCAAACCGCCCGTGTGATCACGGCCTTTGTTGGACCCCAGATTTGCAACCCTGCCATCACCCGGAGAAATGTCCTATTTTGGCCAGAAGGCTCCAAAAGCCTATCGATTATCCCGTGGACATAGGTGCGCATGCAGAAGCCAGAAAAGGTGTGGACAAGCACCGTGACACCCCACAGGCACCACGTTGGAGACCCCTGCTGGTGGGCAGCCATATCAGATATTCTTCCGATCTTGAAAAACTACTGCAAGGTTCCTTCCCGTCCCTGCTCAGAACCAGCATTTCTTTCTTTTCTTTTTTAAATATTTTTTTAATTTGCTTTTTAAGATTTTAGAAATAATGACATCATCCAATCTTCTTATAATAGTTGCGGAGATTTTCACATTTCCTATAAAGTAAACATAAATATATATTTTGCACTATCATTTAAACATTAGCCAATGTGACTATACGAATCGTTTCATGCAGTATCTATTAATTTGTTTCCCTTCATCCACTTAGCCAAAATTGATCCCTTTGCACCATCTGTAAAAACAAAGCCAATAATTATCAAATACCTCAGAACTTTTTTCTTGAATAATAAAGGTTCATTTCTCCATCTCTGCTACGTCAAAGAGCTTATAAATAAATTCTTGTTTAGTCGGAATATCTTCGTCTTTTGGCAAACACAATCCTAGCTGTCGTCAAGATTTGCATAGTTAAATATAAGAACCAGCATTTCTTATGGCGAAAATCCACCCGAGAGACGGGTAGTGCAGAATCAACAAACAAATGCGTGTTAATGAAGTTATTTACTGTTGTGTCTGTATTCCCAAACAGGCCTCTGATGCCAGTGGAGGCTCAGGAAACAAGGTCTGGGTTTTTTCCCTCTCTTTTAATCAATTTAGCATTAGAGTGCATTTAGCCTTTAGAGTGACCAAATTTCTGGTTGGGCGAGGGGAAGGGGGACAGAACCCTCATTCCATTGCAGGCTTGTAAATGACCAGTCCCTCATTATGCCTTCTCTAAACCGGGGCTAATGCCGGCAGGAAGGGAAATGAGGGGTTACGTCTACCTTGGATTTAATCAGATGCTGGTAACCAGGGGTCATTTTGTAGGAAAAGAGGTGCAGGAGCTCATTAGCATAGCTCATTAGCATAACTCATTTGCATGTGCCACACCCCCTGACATCACCGGAAGTGTGTCAGAAGGCAACACCCACCACTCAGGCTCCACTGGACTGTTTTGGATTGCTAGCTATTATTTATTTATTTATTTCATTCGGTTTAGCTATGGGGGGGCATGCAGATCTGCCCTCACAGAGGAGGGAGAGCTTGTACCTGAAGGCAGGCCGGGGTGTGTGTGCAACTTACTTGGCTGCTTCTTGCTCCTCGTGGCCCTGCGCTGTTGCGGTGCTTGGAGATGGCAGTCATAAATACTTTGGCCTCCCTCCAAGGGCTGCTGTAATCATTACTTGCCATGCTGCATATGACTTGAATCCTTATGCTGAATTACAGGTCTGCAGCCTTCAGGTACTCAATATTTTCCACTGGACTGTTTTGGATTGCTAGCTATTATTTATTTATTTATTTCATTCGGTTTAGCTATGGGGGGGCATGCAGATCTGCCCTCACAGAGGAGGGAGAGCTTGTACCTGAAGGCAGGCCGGGGTGTGTGTGCAACTTACTTGGCTGCTTCTTGCTCCTCGTGGCCCTGCGCTGTTGCGGTGCTTGGAGATGGCAGTCATAAATACTTTGGCCTCCCTCCAAGGGCTGCTGTAATCATTACTTGCCATGCTGCATATGACTTGAATCCTTATGCTGAATTACAGGTCTGCAGCCTTCAGGTACTCAATATTTTCCTCTCCCTCTCTCTGTTCCAGCATGTCATGAAGGAAGGGACAGGGTCCAAAGGTGGCCTCGACTTGGTTTGTTATCCACTGTAAAATGACCTTCCCGATGTTAAGACTTCGTGCCCATCTCATTCTCAACAAGATCCAGGAAAGCCCGCCTCCCCCATCTCAAAGACCTCAAGTCCACTACAGGAAAGAACAAGAAAAAGGCCACAAGACGTTCTGTTGCAGAACACAGAGATAAATAGCGCTTTCCATGAAATGGTTCCGAGCGCTGAAAGTTTTGCATCTGTCGCAGAGATTCCGTGGTGTGCAGGCACATATCTGTGTGTGTTAAAAACAAACAAACAACGCTTCAGGATATTAGAGCATCCAGCCCTGAACTAAGAGAAAGAAGGGCGCTCTCTCTCTCTCTTTTTTAACGCAAAGCTCTTCCTTCCCTTGCTGCAGGCCGGCAGCACCATGACACTGGGCTTGCAAAAGTTCTTATGCAAGGCATTGTAACGGAGACCGTCGCCCTGTACGTCGATTGGAGTGGGAAACGTACAATGCACGCCTCTTATGAAGTTTGCGCTGCCTCTTTGACGCATCGGAAGCGCCTGCTTGCTTTTGTCTTGCTTCCAAAAAAGACCCCACCCTCTGGCCATCTTATCAACTGAGCTCACGCTGCAGCCCCATGGGTGAAAGTAAACTTTATTTGCCATGGCCGCTCTAGAAGAAAGAGAAAGGATTGTTACTCTAGAGGAAGGAGAAAGGATCTTGGGCGCCATGTCCCAGAAATGTTCCAACTGCACCTTTCACACAACGATACGGATGTGAAGGGACTCAGGAGAGGAAATCCACATGGCTTCTATTATCTTCATGATACCAGACAATCGTCTTTATACCCCCCCCAAAAAAAAGCTGCAAAACCCAGGGGTTAGTAAGAGAGACCCCCCCCATTCTCCTTTGGCATGTGGGGGGAGGAGGAAACAATTCAAGACCCAAACGGCAGAGCGTATTCTGTACAACGAGGGAAGACTTACCACAATCTTGGGCTTAAATGTAATGAAAGAAAACTCCTTGACAGCAGTGTTCCCTCTAAGCTTGAGTCAGTGTGAGCCAGCTCACAGTTTTTTAGCCTTCAGCTCGCAGATTTCTGTCTTAGCTCAGGAAGGATGGCTCCAGAGCAATGTAATTTATGCAGTGGCCAAATCGTTCGCTCACAATTTTAATGCCAGTAGCTCACGAATTAGAATCTTTGCTCACAAGACTCCACAGCTTAGAGGGAACATTGCTTGACAGTCGTGTCATTCTTCTTCCAGCAAAGAACCCAGGGCAGCATTAACCCTCACAACTGTCCTGGAAGACTGGCTTCGCTGAGAGAGAGAGAGACAGAGAGAGACAGAGAGAGAGAGAGAGATCCTAGCCGAAGATTATCAAGGGAACTTTGTGGCAGAGTGAGAACCGGAAGCCACAGTGTTGGGGGGGGGGGCTAGCTGCTATTCCCCCCCCTCAGCTTTGCAAGTGCAAAAGCCGTTCATGCACACGCAAAGCCAAAATCAGCCGTTTGCTCCCTTCGAGAGTCACGTCAAGTTTATTGCGATCAAAGATCAGTTACATGTACTCCCTTCGGAACAACCTGTGCCACTGAAAAGTCACCGGGCGGTTCAGTCCTGGAAGATCAAAACTCTGCCAAGCTCAGTTCATCTTGCAGTTCATTTTTTTTGGACTCGGTAAAGTGCCACGTGGGGGCGGGCCTGGCGAGACAACCATTTCGTTGCTTCTCTCGGCTGCAAGGAAGCCGAGGGGGCCCTTTCTGAGTCCTCCGGAGATGACCTTCTCTGTGTAACAAGAGCGTGCTTCCTTTTCTTTCGACTGCGGAGCAGGGAAATGCACAGCTGGCTGGCCTGTTTGCCTCATCCTCTGATGGGCAGCACCCACCCAGGGAGCAGGAGGTGAAAAGGCAAGGGGGGGGCATGTCTTCAACTACAGCTTGAAGCAAACCATGCTGCAGTAGCCACAGAAGCAAAAAAAAAGACAAGAAAATCAATCAGGACTATCTGCTTTATGTCACAGAAACATTCTGACATTTGTGGATCCAAATGGCTTCCTGGACTCTTCAATCATAGCCCTTTCCTGGCAAAGGAAGGAGAATTTATATCTTACAGGGGTTCGCCACATGCGCACACCGCAAATCACTGGTGTTCTGGGAAATGTGCCGTACACACAATCACGGTGTTTCGAAAGATCATGCCTCCGGTTGTGGAGGCATCCAGAGTCTCTGGAAGAAATAGCGGTTGGACAATTTTAAAACATCTTTTTAAGAATGTAAGAAACTGCCTTGTATTGAGTGGGACTGTTGGCCGATAAAGCCCAGAGCTCTCTTATTAACTCTGACTTCGAGTTCTTGGGAAGGGACAGGCTGTTTCCAGCACTGCTAAACCTTTAACTGGAGGTGCCAGGGATAGAAAGGAGGACCTTATCCATGCAAAGAGCATGTGCTCTTTGACAGAGCTGTAGGGAACAAAGAAATTGGAAAAAAACCCAACACGGAATAATACCACCACCAGCATGTTCTCAAAATGGACATCGGGCAGGTCCACACAGGAGCGGGGGACTGGCCCCTTTCCCTCTAGAAATTCATGGGATCACAACGGTTCTGTTTTTGCTTGCTTCTCTATGGAAGGTTAATTTGCTACGCATTTTTGCTTTCAATGAATGAAATAACTAAGTCATTTGGGGACCGGAAAGACACACATTGGGATGTTTGGCTAAAGAGTAGAAAAGACAAAACGATGAAAGGTTTTGGAAATACGGGACCCAATGACCTCACAGTTGGAAGTGGCTCAACATATTCTTGAGCCAACATATCTGTAAGACCTCCAAGGATACTGGCTGGTACACATAAACAAACAATTTTCATTTCTCCATCCCTGGGAACACAGAAACGTTTCATGTTCATATATAGTAAAAATAATAGTGGATTAAACAATACGAATATAATGGTCATGGGTTGTATCCTACCATGCTCCGCTCATGGCGGCACCATCCTCCAGGGCTGGCGACCCCCAGGTGGGGCCTGGTGTTTCTCCAGAATTTCAGCTGATCCCCAGATGAGAGTTTACCTGGAGGAAATGGCAGCTTTGGAGTGTGGACTCTATGAGAACCAGTTTGGTGTAGTGGCTAATTACACGCACTCTAATTTGGGAAAACCGGATTTGATTCCCCACTCCTCTTGCAGCTGCTGGATGACCTTGGGCAAGCCGTAGTTCTCTCAGAGCTGTTCTCGGATTAAAAAAAAACAGTTTCTGTCAGAGCTCTCTCAACCCCGCCTACCTCACAGGGTGCCTGTTGTGGGGAGGGGGAGGAGTTTGTAAGCCGCTCTGAGACGCCGAGTGAAGGGCGGGGTATAAATCCAAACTCCTCTTCTGTACCATCATATCCCTTCTGCAGGCAGTGCACCCAAATCTTTAGGAACTTCCCAAGCTAAAGTTGGCAACCCTGTTATAGGGTTGCCAGTCTCCAGGCGGGGCCTGGAGATCTCCCGGAATCGACACTCCAGACTACAGAGCTCAGTTCCTCTGGAGAAAATGGGCTGCTCTAGAGGGTGGGCTCCGTGGGAGCATAACCTGCTGGACTCCCTCCCCTCTCCAAAACCTCCCCAGGCTCCAGCCCCAAATCTCCAGGAATTCCAAACCTGGAGATGGCAACCCTACCTATTCAAAAGGTTTCTAGTCCTTATTCAGGTTAGAACAGATCAAAGGGAGTCCTTCTTCACCCAAAGAGTGATGAACACATGGGATTCACTGCCACAGGAGGTGGCGGTGGCCACAAGCATGGACGGCTTCAAGAGGGAATTAAATAAGCATATGGAGCAGAGGTCCATCCGTGGCTCTTAGCCACAAGGTAGAGATAGGAACTCTCGGTCTGGGGCAAGGGATGCTCTGTCTTCTTGGTGCTTGGGGGGGGCAACAGTGGGGGGGGGCTTCTATTGTCCTAGCCCCACTGCTGGACCTCCTGGTGGCACCTGGTATTTTTGGCCACTGTGTGACAGAGTCTTGGACTGCATGGGCCATTGGCCTGACCCAACATTGGCTTCTGTCCTTATGTTTTCCCACTGGCAGAAAAGTTTATTGCGTCAAAGGGTGGTACCGCTATTAGCTGGGGGGAGTGGCAGAATACAACATCTTTCGCCATCAGGTAGCACTTGGGGGGGCGTTTAAAGGAGATACCTCAAATTGGAGCAAGGGAAATATCCCATGAGAGCGGTCTTCTGTGCCGGAGGGGCTGTGCGGGAAGCCATCTGAACGCAGTTTGTGGGAGAGGCCTTTGGGGTGGACTGCAGCAGTCACTGCCTAGAAATGTATCAGCGTTAGACATTTTCATAGAATTGCATTGGAAACAACTGTCCACTGCGCGCCTCCTTCAACAAGGACGCGCTGTGACACCTATGCGCATGCGCAAAAGGTTTTTTTAAAAACCCCACCGCGCATGCCTCCTTCAGTGGACGCCATCTAGACAATCCACAACAGAGGCAGCGTGCGGTAAGGTGATTCACCAGGTCATGCTACGATGGATTAAAAAGATCGGGATAAAACTCAGGTTGGCATAATGGCGGGATTAGCTGCCCGTCTGAATGCACTCCATGTTTCTAGCAGAATGGCGTTATTTGCCTTAGCAACAAGGAAAATCAGAATGAGTTTAGTATTTAATGCAAAGTAGAAGGAGTACTGGAGTATACTGATATATTTTGTTTTATTGTTTACATTACCATTTTATAGTCTGATGTATTATGGCCTGTGGCTAAAACAATAAACTCGATACTACAAAATACAGGCGGCTTTCCCCACCCAATGGGGTGGAAGTTGCTAAGGGGAGGCAAATTTAGCAGAAACGCCACTGGGAGAGAAATCATCCCCACCACTACAGAAAAGATTTCAGCCTCCCCCTCTGCATTTTGCAAAAGGAATGAGAACGTTAGGAAGGGAGCCGCACACAGTTCAGCATCGTTTGGCATCAGAAACAAAAACAGAGAAAGATTGTCCTCGCTCGGGCTTCATTTTATAGCAGCCTAACTTTAATAAGCAGAAGACTGAGATAGCCATGGAGGTGGGGCATTGAAGCCCATTATTGGTGTGTAGTTTTGAATCAAACCCATCACTTCTCGGCCTTTTGGCGAAGATCAAGTGTAAGTCATATAAAACCCAGTATGGGAAACCTCTCGCTTTGCTCATCTACAGACTTTCTCCAAAATATGTTTCAAGCCTGTCCTTCTAGCAAAGATCCCAGGGGAGCCAAAGGAGAGATGAAGCTGTGCATAGACACTGGGGTTGCCAGCTCTGGCTGGGGAAATACCTGGAGATTTGGGAGGGCGGAGTCTGGGGAGGGGAGGGGCCTCAGCAGAGTACAGTGCCCTGGAGTCCAGCCTCCAAAGCAGCCATTTTCTCGAGGTGAATGGATCTCTGTTTGGAGATCAGTTGTAATAGCAGGAGATCTCCAGGCCCCACCTGGAGGGTCAAACAACAAATATATACACTGCAAAAACCTTATTTATAAGTTAAAGTATTCTATATGTTCCATCTTATAAAGTGCATTGTGTATTATTCATAATATTCTAAAACAGGTATATATTCATTACATGCGATATCAACAATAATAATCAGTTTGTACACCTGCTTCTCCTTGCTTGAAAGTCTTCTAAAGGGGGAAGTTTCCTTTTGGGGTTACATTGAAGTTTAAATTGATGTTTGTTGCTGGTCCTACAAAAGGTCCATTAAGCAGCTGACAATCATAGATGGAGCACTCCTGTCTTTGTTGTTTGACTCTTCTAACACTGCAGAGCGAGTTTCCACACCCACCTGGAGGGTGGCAACCCTAGTAGACCCTGGATAGACTTCCTTGAAATCCCAGCTTTTTTTAAAAAAAAA